TTAATATACATGGTCGTTTTTTTCGGATTAAAACGCCTTACTATACATGGTTATGTTTTTCAGCTAAAAACGCCTTATTATACATGGTCGTTTTTTTCGCCCCAAAACGGCTTACTATATACATGATGGTTTTTTTCGCCTCAAAACGCCTTACTATACATGGTCGTTTTATTCGGCTAAAAATGCCTTAATATACATGGTCGTTTTTTTCGGATTAAAACGCCTTACTATACATGGTTATGTTTTTCAGCTAAAAACGCCTTATTATACATGGTCGTTTTTTTCGCCCCAAAACGGCTTACTATATACATGATGGTTTTTTTCGCCTCAAAACGCCTTACTATACATGGTCGTTTTATTCGGCTAAAAATGCCTTAATATACATGGTCGTTTTTTTCGGATTAAAACGCCTTACTATACATGGTTATGTTTTTCAGCTAAAAACGCCTTATTATACATGGTCGTTTTTTTCGCCCCAAAACGGCTTACTATATACATGATGGTTTTTTTCGCCTCAAAACGCCTTACTATACATGGTCGTTTTATTCGGCTAAAAATGCCTTAATATACATGGTCGTTTTTTTCGGATTAAAACGCCTTACTATACATGGTTATGTTTTTCAGCTAAAAACGCCTTATTATACATGGTCGTTTTTTTCGCCCCAAAACGGCTTACTATATACATGATGGTTTTTTTCGCCTCAAAACGCCTTACTATACATGGTCGTTTTATTCGGCTAAAAATGCCTTAATATACATGGTCGTTTTTTTCGGATTAAAACGCCTTACTATACATGGTTATGTTTTTCAGCTAAAAACGCCTTATTATACATGGTCGTTTTTTTCGCCCCAAAACGGCTTACTATATACATGATGGTTTTTTTCGCCTCAAAACGCCTTACTATACATGGTCGTTTTATTCGGCTAAAAATGCCTTAATATACATGGTCGTTTTTTTCGGATTAAAACGCCTTACTATACATGGTTATGTTTTTCAGCTAAAAACGCCTTATTATACATGGTCGTTTTTTTCGCCCCAAAACGGCTTACTATATACATGATGGTTTTTTTCGCCTCAAAACGCCTTACTATACATGGTCGTTTTATTCGGCTAAAAATGCCTTAATATACATGGTCGTTTTTTTCGGATTAAAACGCCTTACTATACATGGTTATGTTTTTCAGCTAAAAACGCCTTATTATACATGGTCGTTTTTTTCGCCCCAAAACGCCTTACTATACATGGTCGTTTTTTTTGGCCAAAAATGCATTCCTATACATGGTCGGTTTTTTTTGGGGCCAAAAACACCTAATATACATGGTCGTGTTTGTTGTGAAAAATGCCTTCCTGAAACTTAAAAAAAATACTTTACAAAAAAGCCTTACTATCCATGCGCTCACATTTCAAAAAACTGTCTTATATCGGGACAATGTAAAATGCTAATGTCCTTCCTGGCAGTCGAATGGTTAGTGCGCCGGCGTTGCGCTATGGAGTTGCAGGGTTTGAATCCAGCCCCGTCCTTCCTCTGTGTTGGCAAAAATTTGTGTGGCCATGTATTTTCTGATCCTCTTTTCCGCACTATTCGTGCTCACACTCCCACCTAGAGACAATCTAAAGTGCTTGCTCATCACCTGACTGGTAGTCGAATGGTTAGTGCGCCGACGTTGCACTGTGGAGGTTCAGCGTTCGATTCCCTCTCCAGCATTCATGTGTGTCCTCAAAAACATGCATGGCTATTACTTTTATGACCCTCTTACCCGCGCAACTATTCGCGCCCACACTCACACCAAGGAACAATAAGGAGCATTCAATCCCTCCCTGGTAGTCAAATGGTTAGTGCGTCAGTGTTGCACTGTGGAAGTGCATGGTTCGAATCCAGCCCCGTTCTTCCTCTCTGTTTGCAAAAATGTGTGTGGCCATGTATTTTCTGATCCTTTTTTCCCACACTATTCATGCTCACACTCACACCAACAGACAATCTCAAGTGTTTGCTCATCACCTGACTGGTAGTCGAATGGTTAGTGCGTCGACGTTGCACTGCGGAGGTTCAGGGTTCAATTCCCTCTCCAGCCTTCATGTGTGTTCTCAAAAACATGCATGGCTGTCCATTTTGTGATCCTCTTCCCCGCGCAACTATTCGCACTCACACGAGGAACAATATACGGTAGAGTATTCATTCCCTGCCTGGTCGTCGAATGGTTAGTGCGTTGGCATTGTGCTGCGGAGGTGCAGGGTTCGATTGCAGTTCGGTGTGAGGTTGCATGTTCTACCCGTACCTTCGTAAGTTTCCAAAAACGTGTGGCCATCCATTTTCTTATCCTCTTCGCGCTCACACTGACACCTAAGGACAATGTAGAGCAGGGTTCCCACTCTTCCACTTGCTTTTTATTTCTGGAGCGTTTTAAGGACTTTTGAGGGCTAATTTCACCATTTTTGAAGGACTTTTTCTCCATTCAGCAGGGGATTCATGGTGGATTTAATGAACAGAAAGCCACAAATCACTGAGCTGGTGTTCAAATCATTGCTGCCAAAGGAAGGGCACATCTTTATTTTTAGGGGCAACCAGCTAACCCTTTTTTTGACATACTGGATGTCAAATTGGCCCGAAATGACCCGAAGTGATCACGTGATCATCATCGGAACTGATCGGAGATGGCGGGAAAAGCAGAGCGGAAACCAGGAAGGCATGGAGCCCGACAGCGGGGCTTGAGGGGAAGGGCGCCAGGCACATTTTCCGACAAAACTATAAATTGGAAGGGTGGGGAAAATGACATATACAAATGAAATGAACACCACAGGTTAATTTTTAAGGATTTTTATTGATTTTAGAAGCTTTCCCTGAAAATTAAGGACAATTAAGAACATAATTTTTTTACAACTTTTTTATGGGTTTTTATGAACTTTAAGGACTCGTGGGAACCCTGGGTTAGGGTTTCAAAGAAGGGTTTGAGTTTGTTGTTTTTTTCTGGTGAAGCGGCAAGACAGGATGAAACAGCCCAAGGCAAATCTCAACACTTTCATTCTCCTGCTCTAAATTGACACCAGGCAGATACAAAACTACAACAAATGTGTCCGACCCCCTAACCCGTGACCTTTGACCTACCTTCCTTCCATAGATGACCTCTGAGAATCCCGGGCCGTGCCAGTGGAAGGGGACACCGGTTCCGGGACCTGAACAAGGATGGACAACAAGGTCAAGTACAAAGACAATTTAGGACTCCGTCCTTTTCCCTCAAAGAGTGGAAGTCGGTTGGACAGACCGGCGATGCCAAAGCTGAACGCTCGGTGGGTCCCGGGCAGCAAGAAGGCGGGCGGCTCGTAAACGTCCAGAAGGCTGCGCCACTCGCTCAGGTTGTTATCGCCAAACATGTACAAGGTGTCTGCTGGCCCCACAACAAAAAGAGAAATGCAAAAAAAGGCAACTTTCTTGTTTTTTCGCTCATATCGTGTCTGTGTTGTTTTTGTTGCACGTCTTTGCAAATTGCACAGACCATTATCGCCATGGCGATATCGTTGCCATAGCTTGTGCAGCCCCTGTCAGCCATTCCCATCCCCGACTCACCGCTGCCCAGGACGTCTGGTGACTGCGGCCTCAGGAGGTCGTCCACGTAGTCTCTGAAAGACATGTCCACTGCGGGCACACCACGTCACACGGGATCATGCGGCGTCACGTTAAGCATGATGGGGAAAACGATCGTGGTGGTGACTGACCTTTGGTGTACGAATACGTGTTGGCCGTACTCAGACGCACTTGCCGATCGCCGTATGTGGTCAGTAAATTCCATTTAGAGCACAAAGACCGGAATTTCTACAAAGACCATCACAAAGGTATGAAATTGGTATGAAACATTGGCAATTTTAATTAAAAAAATATATTAATTGCTGCACCTCGAATTAAATTAAGGAAAAAAGTACTGAAACTGAAACAAAAACACAAACACACAAATGTAATGCTACAGCAAAAGCTAAAGCTCAACGTACGGTGTTGTCCGTCAGTCCCGTGATGACCACCGGCGTGCTGTACGCGTAACTATGGAAACAGCATAACAGCATCACTTTAGCAGCTGTTAGTTCGCGAGCTAACATGCTTGCCAGGAAAGAAACACGCACAAGCGGGCACGCGTCTGGCATACCTGTCCAGGAAATGACGTAATGACAGGGAGGAACCGTCCACCACTTCCAAGTTACACGGACCTTCATCCTCCACGCTCAAATTCGGTCCGCACCACCTAAACACACACCCCCAACTTCATCTTTGTGTTGGCATTCTTCCTCCTCATCGCGAAAAATCTAAAGAATAACTCGACCATCTCAGGTACTCCGGTAATCGGTCTTATTCGACCATCGAATGGACTCCAGTAAACGGTCTTATCTGTGTGCTCGTTACAGTAACAGCGTACTCGAGTAAAACGCGCTCGAGCCGGCACGTACAGTTAAGAACTGACCAACCGCCGTCGGCGCCTTCTTGGTGTTCGCTTAGCGTTTGCACCTCCAGCAGAACAAAAAAGGGGAGCAGAGCCAAGCGGAAGGAAGTCTGGCCTAAAGCTGTCCAAAGTTCCATTCAACAAATTTCCCCACACGACCGACTTGACGGGAAACAGACTGACGGGAATCCAGTCGAATCGAGTCGATGACGACTTCCGAAGCTCAACAGCAGATCATTTTTCACTTCCTGGTCTGCAGCCAATCACGAGCAAAGCACATTCGCCGTGCTGAGTTTGTGGGAAGGCGAGAACGTGGGAATTCTGGTAAATCAACACCGCTTACTCTCGCTTCACGCTTCGCTGTGAGTTGCAAGGATTCGAAGCGGGAATTTTCAAATTACAAATGCGTGAGCGCAAAATTTTTGCTCAACAGCACTGGAAATTTACGACTGTTCATCATTTTGATGGCTAATTCTCGTCATCAACTAATATGCATGGGACATACAAGTCTACCTACTGTGGTTAAACATTAGATTTGTGTGCTTCAAAAAGATGACACCAGAGTCTGTTTTTAAAATTTCTTTTTTTTATTAAACTATCTGCAAGTCCACTTATGTACAGTGTGGGTACTTTGCCACTGTCGTGACATCATAACAAGATAGATTTCTATTTATACTCTGTCATATTTTGACAATATTAGTACTTAATTGCAATCCTCTTATCTTGAAACTCCAATGGACACAATAACTAGTGTGAAATTAAACATTCTCAGGAACCGTCAGTTCAAAATCAAAAGTCACAAATACAGAAGAAAAAAAAAAATCAAACAGCAGTGAATTCATGGTAAATAGGCTGTCACTTAGCGCTTTTCTTTCTCGGGTACCCAAAGCGCTTTACACTTTTATCCCATTCACCGACTAGTGACGCAGCATCAGGAGGTTCAGTATCTTGGTCAAGGACACTTCGACATAGTCGCAATGGCCGAGGATCGAACCATCAACCTCTAGGTTGAGAAACGACCACTCGACCACAGAGCCATGCCGTTAGTCCATGTCAGCATCAAAAGATGACACTGTCATCAAACTCCACCCCTTTCAGGTACCACCGGCGCTCCTCCCGTCTCATCGTGTAGCGGGCTGGATGACATCACCTGCGAGGTAAAGTCGCTCAGCTGATGCCTGCCCCGCATGATTGCTGGGATGTGTCCCATTGGGAAGCTTCTGGAGTTTATCCGCACTTACACTGGGTTGATTGACGTAATTCCCCTGGCTGTCATCACTGTCACTGTCATCATCGTTGTCGTTATCATCATCATCCCTTTGGGACAACATCGGCGTCTCTCCTGCCAGCAAACAGGAAGTAACAAGCGTCAATCGACCAGCAGGTGTTCCTCAAACAGAAAGGTGGCAGCAAAGGCTCCACCCCGCCACCAGGAAGTGACACAATCCTATCGAGCGCCCACCCACTTCCTGCTGGTCATCAGGATGACGCCGAAAATCAACTTACCCGCTTCAGGAAGAGCAATCACGTTCAGGTAGTCCCTGTCCTCTGAGAACAGACAGTTAAACAGTCAATCACTAAGACAGTCAGTCAGTAGAACAGACCAAAAGATCGTTATGATGTCAGTGGCGCGACCTGATGGTGACCTTTGCGTGTGCTCCTTTGGGATGTTCTCGTAGTCGTGTAGTTCATCTGCAACAAAGACGCGGCGCCCTTTTTTTCCCCAAATCAGGACAAACGCGGAAAACCGGCGAATGCGTTGGATGCTACCTGAGCTCGGCGTGGATGCACTGCTACGATTGGTCGCAGGAGCCTCGTCATCTGGCAGCACTAATCTGCAAGAACAACCACAAAAAGAAGAACTAGATCAGAAAAGAGAAGGTGAGCAGTGAGAGGGCTACAAGCAGGAACAACTCACATGTAGTCCCCGGTAATGGATACTGAGAGGTCCTGTTCTGTGGAAGCAAACAAAGTTCAATGAAAAATATACACTTGTTAACTTCCTCAAATCACAGACATAACCAGAAACACAAGAAAAACTTGAAGAACCACAACCCGGACAAGAACCAGGAAGAAGCAGCAGAACTGAATGATGCGCCAAAAGCAAAAAAAAAAACCTGTAGAAAGAGCAGGAAAAAAAAAAACAAAAGCACGAAGCAAAAAGAACCAAGAGAAGAATCAGAAGAACTGTGTGAATGTATTTGAAGGTTACTGACCATCGTGAGAGTTCTGGTAGCTGTGGGTACTCTCTGCAGAAGGAAGAAGACCAGGACCACCCCCCCCCCGGAAAAAAATGTCTTGTCAACTTGTTGGTGGAATTTTTCATCTTTTCCTCTCACCGCTTTCTGTGGCCTCTCTGTCGGATCTTCTGCTGCGCTGACTGACGCAATCCGAAGCTGGAATGCTGGGAACATCATCAAAGACGTGAAGGGGAGCATAAAAGATATGAAGAAGAACATCAATGACGGAGAAGGTCAAAGACGTGAAGGTGAGGTCAACTCACAAAGGAGACAGCAGGCCAGAGGTCAGGCGAGTCGTCGGCTGATCTGTGAGTCAAAAAAGATTTATGCTGACAAACTTTGACTTTGTTAGCCTTTGCCAACTTTAGCTTCAAATCCCTAGCTGGTTAGCTTCTGATAATTTTCCATTTTTAACATCTGCCACAAACTTGTTATAAACAACCAAGCTTGTTTGAAGTTCGAAGTCTTTAAAATGTTTAGCTTTCACTCATTTTAGCTTTGAATTGCTTCCGCCAACTTGAGCCCCAAAGTGCTTATTAACGTTTAGCGTGTTAGCGTCTGACAATTTTAGCTTTTAGCATTTCTTTTGACAGCTTCCACCACCTTTAGCTTCAGCCAGAAACTAGCCACGGTATAAACATTTTGCTTGTTATCTTATGCCTACTTTTACAGACATCAGTCTTGTTTTTGTTTTTCCTTTTTACATTTTTCCATTACAATGAATGCCCAGAACGACAGAGTGGACAACTGGTTAGCACGTCCCACAACTGAAATGTTCAGGTCATCTGAGATGTTTCAGCGGGTGTCATCACTTCTTGCTCAAGGACTAGATAGAACCGCCCTCGTCTAGTTTAGCTTGTTAGCTTTAGCCAAAACATAAGCTCCTCCCACCACCAGGAAAAAGACTTACGTGGATGGACCAGTATGAATTGAGTGGATCTGCATGTGAGAGACAAAAATCGAGTGTGAACTAGAAAGTGATTGGTCGCCTTGTGATCGGTCCCGCTGAAGTGCAAAACTCACGGGGTGTACTCGCCAGTGTCGCACGCTTCCCGGATGGAAACTGATGACACCAAAGAGAAAGAAATGAAAAACTGTTTGGTTGACGACACAGATGACAGGAAGTGACATCACGATCACGCGCACCGGGTGGTCCGTTGTCCCTGCAGTGCAGGCACACCAACGCCAGGACTACGGCGCATGCCAACATGGCGGCTGACACCAGCGAAGGCAGGAGCAGAGATGCTTCCGTGTCTGCGTCCATGGCAAACTGAGGACATGACCACAACGCCGGTCAAAAAGAAGATTCACCGAAAAACGGGCCAGGGGCAACTCACGTCGAAGGAGGACAATCCGGGGCGGGGTTCGCCACACTCAGGAAGTCACAGCGCCTTCGCCGCTGCACACTTTGTATCCTCGTGAGGGAAGGAGAAAATATGACGACCAACATTGAGGATGAAGAAGACAAAGCAAATGAAGGAGAAGATAATGATAAAAATGAAGGACGAAGAAGGCAAAGAATAAGATGACAAAGTCAAGGAAGGTGACGACAAAGCCAAAAAGAAGTCGACGACGAAGGAGAAGATGACAAAAAAGACAAAGGAGAAAATAAAGACGATAAAGACAATGAGGAACAAGACAATTAAAATGAAGGAGAAAATCGAAAATATAAGACAGAATAGAAGAAAATTAATATGAAAATAAAAACAACAAAAAAAAAGATATCGAAAATGAAGAACAAGAAAAAGAACGTGGCCAGACGAAGAAGATGAAGAATTACAAGACGAAATCAAGGAAGTTGACAAAGAAGGATGCAGAAAACAGGAGAAGAAGAACATGGAGGAGAATGACAGACTTAATAGATAATATTGAGGAAGACAATGGCGACGAAAAGACAAAAACCCAGTAGAAAAAAAAAAAGTCTAAAGATCAAGCAGAAGACAAGAAGAATAAAAGCGGGAAGGAGATGAGCAAGACAAAACAAGACAAACAATTACAAGCTCAAGGCAAAGGCGCCCAAGATGGAGAAGGTGAAACCTTTTTCGCCGTCGAGTCCTTTCAAAGCGTTTCAGGCGGCCATCTTGTGCGGTGTGAAGGGCGTGCGAGGTGTGCTGGAGAAAGCGGCGATGTCAGGATGAAGGCAGTCCGGCGGACTTCCTGTCATCCAGGCACACCCTTGGAGAAGCGGCAGGGTGATGTCACGCCAGCAAGGGCGCTCCCCGCGTGACCAGATCCGGGCCGTTCGTCCGTTTGGTGTTCCGGCAGCGGCCGGTCTCATTTGGCGACGTTTTCCTCCCGCCTGCTTCCTTGTTACTCTCAGCCAATCGGCTGCCGCCGTCAATGCTACGTGCGCTCGGAGAGGTCTCCGACGCCGCGTTTCCGGGAAGAGGAGCTTCGCGACGACTAACAGGAAACCACGTCGAGGTTGATCGGGGGGGGTGGGGGGGGCGCTACAACTAACAAAAGCCACACTAAACCACCTGGATTTGTCTGAGACTGGCAAACGACTACCACAAAGCGAAGAAGATGATTAGTACATACGGTAACTATTGGATGACGAGTCGACATACACCAAAACGTTTAGTAGCTGACGACCAGGATATTTGTAGTAGTTTAGAAGAGGACCAGATGCCTAGCAAATGAGGACAAGTAGATGACTATTAAGTGACTAATAGACGAATACACAACTAGAAAATGACTAGTCGATGACCAGGAGTTGAGTAGTATAAACCCAGCACATGATGATCAGACAATTAGACTAGATGAGCATTAGTAGTCTGGAAGGCGACTAGACGGCTAACAAACGACAAGGACAGCAAAGGACGAGACTCCAGAGGACGACTAGCAGGTGACCAGAAGATGACTCGTATCTAATTAATGGACCACCAGAAGATGGCAAGATGGCTTGCAAACTATGACTTGGTTAGCTGATGACTAGTACAGAACTACTCGATGATTACCAGATGACAAAATCAACAGCACTTAAGCACTACGTGACTGGTAGACAACTAAAATAGAACTACAAGATAACCAAGAGATGGCTTGAAAAGCAGTTGACGCGCATCCTAGAGATGACTAGTGTACAACTACTAGATGACAGGCCGACAACTAAACGAGGTCCGGTCCAAATAAGTGACACAAGAGAATAAGTAAACAAGTTAGCTCGGTTTATTCAGTTAATCTAAAAACAGAGTCAGCAAAGTGGCTGGCCGCCAAGACCACGCATGGTAAGACCCCCAAACCAAAATGCCGAAGAGAAGGTTCATCACCCGGACAAAAGCAGAAAAAACAAGCAAGTTCAGAAAAGTCAAGACTATCCTAAAAGACCGTATAAGTTGAATATCCTAAAAGTGGTAAAACAAAACATTTTTGGGACCGGGAGTCCATTCGAGTTTGGTACTGGATTCTTCTTGCACCAGCCTCCCCCAAAAAAAATGTAAAAGGAAAAACCGTGATAAAAGTTTCTGCCGCTTCCTTCCACTGAGAGAAGGAGGGGAGGCAAAGTTCAAATCAGAACCCTTCAAATCAGAACGCTGGACACTGGAACCAGAGTGGATCGCCCGCTTTTGGGCACCACGATGGGCTCGTCGTCATCTGTGGACACACACACACACACACCGAGTAACATCAAGTCACGCTACCTCACACACGACTCGGGCGCTGCGTGTTAGCGGGCATGCTGGGTCACCTGCGGGTGTCAAGTTCTCAGCTTGCTGTCGATCTCGCTCAATGAAAAGGGCGGTGGCGAGGAAGAAAGCTCCGCCCCCCACGGCCACGAAGGCGCAGAGCAGCAGAGACAGTTGAAGCGAGCGAAACTGCCACAGGAAGGAATCCCACTTCCTCAAGGAGTCCGACACCTGGAAGTTGCCACGACACGTCAAACACAGGGCCACAATTCATCCCTGAATTTTCAACTATTTCAATGATGGATGAAAGTTTTGCGAGTGACATCATAGATGACGAAGAAGCAACCTCACAAGGGTGGTACTGAAAACCAGAAGCCCTTTGTTGCCATGAATCGATAGCTGCCCGTTTCCAAAAGGTTGCAGAATACAACATGGCTCTCTGTCAAATTGTGGAAAACCTACGGGCCTGCGCGGGTTTTCTCCGGGTACTCCGGTTTCCTCCCACATTCCCAAAGCATGCATGGCAAGCTGATTGAACACTCCAAATTGTCCTCAAGTGTGAGTGTGAGCGTGAATGGTTGTTTGTCTGTGTGTGCCCTGCGATTGGCTGGCAACCAGTTCAGGGGTGTCCCCCGCCTACTGCTCGAAAACGGCTGGGATAGGCTCCAGCGCCCCCCCGACACCTTTGTGAGGATAAAGCGGATCGAAAAATGGATGGATGAAATAAACTTGAATGCCAAATAGCGTCGGTATGCAGATCGATGGCGGGTAACAAGCGTGCAAGAAGATAAGAGTGCATACGCACCACTCCGATGAGATAAGGACTTCCGGCGTCTCCCAGCAGGTGCGAGATGACAATCTGCAGTGCCTCAGCGGTAGAGCGCCGCGTGGGAACCACCACGTACTGACAGACAAAAACAAAAACACAAGCACATTAGTAGAAGGAGGCGGAAGATAAGGATGGAACGTGTGTCACGCCACGTTGCTGACCAGCAGAATGTCGGCCACGATGGCCCAGTTCATGGACAGGAACGTCTCACCCAGGAAAATAAACACCTGCGCAAAACACAAGATCTTCACCACTCATACACTCAAAAGCAACGGGAACATGACAAGTAGATGACGAGTGGTTGGTTGACAGGTAGAAGACGTTATTTTGCAAACGTGGCAGGTGTCGGAGCTCGAGTATATACTCACATATGTGGCGACGGTGCTGGCCTGGGCGCAGACGACGGCGAGGTAGAGGAAGGGCGCCGAGAGCAGCAGGCCGGCGGCGCACACCAGCGGGTCGGCGCGCGGAGTTCGGCGTCGGAGCAGACGGCTGGCCTGCACGCCGCTGGCCACGCCCAGCACGCCCGTCACGCATGTGATGGCGCCGAAAATCAAACTGCCCGCACGCAAACCACAAACGCACTGTCACTCGGGATGCTCGGAAAGGCGTCCAAAAATTTTTAAAAAGACTCAAATTTCAAATCCAAAGTATCTTGACCTATTTCCTAATTATTGTGACAAATGAGTGGCATAATCAGTTTCTTCACATAAATGAATGGCACTGATTATTAATAACAGACAAACATTCGCAAAGGTCATCGATAACATTTGGAAAATGGGAGTTTGAGCATGACTAACACGCAAAGGATTCAGACGGCATTAAAAAAAAAAAAAGATCACTTTTGTCTTTTTTTTTTCCCCCGACAGGTGTCTTTACTGCTATTAACAGCATTATTTGAAAACAAGCTTGACAAGTCTTGTCAAGTTATGTCATTCAAGTCAAAGTCAAGAGGAGTCCTTCTTCATTTTTAGCCAAAAAAAGCGCTGAGATTGTCTCCTTAAGTCTGGCCAGGGTCAATTCACGTGACCGGCGTTCCCTTCCCCTACCGGCAACCCGGGGCGAGGGCTCACCTGTCTGAGGACGAGCAGTGAGCCTCCATGCAGGGCGCGCGCTCGCCCGTAAACATGGCCGCCCTGAACAGGAAGGTGGGCGCCCACAGTGCCAGCGAGCCTGTGACGAAGGCCACCGCCGTGAAGCCCAACGTGGACAGCACGAAGCTCGGGCTGCCCCACAAACAACCACAAAGAGAGGGGGGGGGGGGGGGGGCCCGGGG